TCCCGTCTTTCCGCAATACAAGTTATAGGCATCGTCAAAATCGAGAGCGGTGATGTGGAGTCCAACGCTGCCAATGGTGCCATCATTCTGGTAACGACTTGAGAAGTCATTGACCAAGACATTCTCCGGGTTATCAGCACGTGTGTCAACTTGGAAAGCAGGAGATAGCAAACAAACCTCCGATTGGGGCCTGTACGCGTCTGGTTAGAATACGATCATACTGGCTAGAGTGATCTTCCATAATATCCTGTGAAGATGAGGAAGCAGAGACAGACGAGGGCCCTGGCAAGCAATTTGGTGGAGGCCCATCTGGCGCATGAGTCTTCAGTTTCGGTTTCTTTCCAGCCCTCGTTATCAAGGGTGCTAACAGGCAAGCACCGATAAGTAATCAGAGAGCCATCCCAGTATCACTTTCCTGCGTTGTTCCACGGCCTCAATTATCTCTGTCGTTTATTGAAGAAAAAGAGCACAAGTTTCGGGAATAGCTGCGAGGCCCGGGTTCTCCTACCTCGCTTGTTGATTTTTACCGCACTGGCCCACACACCCTAATGGTGACGTCTGTGACACGCTGACCAGTATCTAAATGTCAGTGCTTCCCCAGTCATACTAGCCGGTGCAGTTCATTCCGGTTCACCTTCGCGGTTGGATCATCTTGAGTAAACAACCTGTTGGCCCGGCGTACAAAAAAATAAGTAAGACGTACCTAACAAATGAAAAGGGACAACTAGCGTTTATTCAAGTCTTCAATCATCCACCTCCTTCCTATTAGAGATCTTATGGCTTATCTACTTCCAAAGAAGTAGGATTTTCAATGTCTCATAACCAAGTGTCAGTAGTAATATGCAAACCAAAAAAGAGAGATTCTGACTCAAATAGGAGCATTATATAGAATGCGATGATACCGAATAAAGACCTCATACGATCAAAAATAACAAGCATTTCTTACAGATGACTGAGCGGGATTACACCTTCTCTTTAACTATTCATAACATCTCCCAGCCAATGTTTTACGGAAACCGCCAAGTCCAACATGACTGATCAAGGTTTTACTCTCAACATGTCTTCTGTTCTTCAGAACGGAGTAGCAAAAGAAACACTTTGGCTGCGAACTGCTACGTGTACTTAAGTTTCGAGGTGGCGTCAAGATTCAAAACCGCGACATTCCTTCTCAGGATATCAGATGATTGTTCGACATGGAAAGTTTCTCAAAATTGCACAAATGTTGAGGCTATGCGTTTATCAAGTCAAAGGGGCTAAAGCCTTTTCTCTTTGCCTATTGGTGAAAGAACAACGGCTAAGCACCCTCCTCATACAAGCCCGAACCGAGGATATAGCTTTGTAGGCCAAGAGAATGTTGCAAACATCAGCGGATATGAGAAGTGACCAGGACCTGGGAAGACTCGATATATCGAAGTGGGTAAAACAAGACATCTGAAATATCTCATCAGTACAACAAGCCACTAGGAAACGTTGGACATGGGAAGTGTCCACGATGAATTAGTAGACAATATGTGAGTGCGTGAGGAAATGCACTCCGGGTTTTGCAAGTTCATGGAGTCTTTCAACGAAAAGGCTTTCAAGACCGAGCTTCAAGTTTTCTCAGCACTGCCAATTGCTTTAGGCGTATCAGAGCACCGCACTAAAATCCTCTACAGCCGTCTCGAGAACGAATTTCGCCTCCTGCACTAACCTGCCATTCATACCGCTGAGTTGGCCGACGACACTGCTACCCGCATCGCTGAACACACTGACTTTAAGACAATCATTTTGCTGTTAGAGGATTCAATTGGAGAACTGCAAGTTGGGGCACAGACTAGTTCTGGGGGCTTCCACTATATGGGACTCGACTGCGCCCACAGATATTATCCTAAATACCGTCGACTCCCTTTAGCGCCTGACAAATGATACGTTCCATGCCGCTTGCCCACCAATTCGCATAACCTACTGCCGTGAATACCGGTGACGTTGTGGAGTCTATGAGAAATACTCCATTACGTACTGTATCAAACCAAACCGCCATGCATCTCTGCTCTGTGTGGGAGAATTCAGCACATGACATTACGATGATGTCACTGCATGGGAATAGAACAACCGCAGGATTGCCAAGCTCTTTGTGTAAGAAACGAGTGTCAACAACCATATCATTTCCACGGGATTTAGAAGTCATTGATTTTGGCTGGAACGTTGACCAAACTGGGAAGTCAGTGGGTGATTATCGCGGTGTTGTGGATATGTATGCGGGTTGACTGGCTGAACACTATCAATTTATTAGAAATGACTTACTTCCTTCTGTAAATGGTCCTAGTTAATGGCGGCCTTGATAAGTTATATCATATGAACAATTAATTGGACTTTCTGCGTATGACTGATTAGAGCGAAACCCGACAGGAAACTCTGATCTATCTACGGAGTTAGGTTTATTTGCATTAACGAACTGACAAGCAGCGTATTTTGGTACTTGTATCAAAAATATTTGATGGTTCCATTCTTGCGGAAGGTGTCCCGGTTCAACTAATCCGAGGAACATCTGAACCTCTTGCAAGCTATAAGCTTTGACCTTTCACGTTGCGAATGCTGAGGCTTAATTTCTCACATGAGCGCGCTGGCATTGTTTATAGTCTCACCTAAAGGACAAGTAGGGGACAACCACTATCGAGTCGAAGAGCAGTATAGCTTCAATCTACTGAAGAGACTAGCGACAGGCGGACTGTGCCGGTAAGCAAAGCAAGCTGAGCCCATTCGGCCTGCTGATAGGCTGCTCCGGAAAAGATCACCACAAATGGGAGCTATGCGAGGGAAGAACTACGTTACTGATCGTATGACTTCGAAAGGTACTTGATGCACTGGAAACAGAGTAAAAAGGGACGCACACCACGAGGTAGTGAAATGGATGTGCAGCGCGAATTGTTAACTAACTCAAAGGACCCATAGGCCGAACCCACCAGAACAAATCCGCAATATTCAAGAGCTTCCGTCGTCGCGTGGTCTCAGGAGAGACTGCATGCAACTATTCATCGTGTTTCCGGAGACCTAATTCCATGTGTACCGTAAATTACATTGGTCTTGGCAACCACTCTTTGCCAATCTTTCGTATCTGCATTCGGGGAGTGACCCGAGCTGGGGGCCGGGAATGGCTTCTCTTTTTGAATCAAATTGCTCGAGTGGCGTTTGGCTCTTGCGAGCTATGAATGGTGGAATGATCATCCCTCTGGACTACCAAGCCTGGGCAGCAAGTCCGTTGTCTTGGCCTCGGGCGAATAGGACCGAAGTGTGTGTGCTTGCTGAAAACAAAACAGTTGACGACTCGTGACAACGGCTCTACATGCGCGACAAATTACTGAGCGCCCAGACTTCGCCAAGTTTTGGCGCCATGGCAAAGTGTCAGTTACTCGTGCACGATGCTAGCATACCTGGCTGGACAAAAGTGTCATTCCGAGTTTCTCAGAGCTCCCCTCCACCTGGTTGCCTCTTTTGACGCATGAAGCTTCCAGGCGCTTTGCGCAAATAACATACCACATGCAAAACTGTCGGATTGTTGCACCTAATTTCGAGAGATTGATGTTCTAACACAAAAATGAGCGAAGAGGATCCAGACTGGCGGGATTCTCACCTCCACCCCGCAGGACCCAGAAAAAGCCCCAATGTCCCCCAGTGCATCAGGCCAATTGATTGTGCAGAGATCCCCGCCATATCCTTTACCCTTTGCATCGAATGTGGGCGCCTGCTACGGCTGCTCGCTCTCCACATTTGGCGTCCAGAATTTCAAGTTTGATTCTACTACACACAAAACACCAAATTGCTGCTCTTCTTCGCTGGAATTGTACGTCGACAGCCGAGTTTTTTGTTTGGCTTTCTGGACCATAGGCCACTTCAAGTGCATTAGCCGACATAAGATTGCAGAAGCTCCAGAGACGCGTTAAGGCCAAGAGGCCAAGACAGGGTAGTGCGCTGGGCGGTTAGGGTTCTCAGAGGTAGAAAATAAAGATCTTGCGGTTTGCATAGATGAGATGCGAATTCACAGTATATCGGGCTTCAGGCCTAGAACAGATCTAGTTAGACGTTGAAGAGTGGCATATTGTCCATGAGGGTTTAGTCCCAACAAGCAACACATAGAATACTGCTACAAGACACCGCTACTCAATATCGCAAGGTGAGCAATGAAACATGAAAGAAGAGAAAAAAGAAATGCAACCGTCCATGCTTCATTGATCATTTGAGAATCTCCCTGACAGCTAGATTGTCAGTCGGTATGCAGTAACTAATGGCATAAAGATAGGGAGCCGCTTGGCAAATGCAACCTATCTGGGAGACCTGCAATCGTCCTATCAGTAACAAGTAATATATACAAACAGAGCACCCCGGCTGAGCTAGTTAGATTGGCACCCAGCTATGGACCCCAGCAGTCGGACTAGCAAGCCCTTTGTGTACTGGTCCTTGAGGCACAGCACTTCCTTCAAACTCATCAATGGCGTGGAGGATGCATTTCCCCGCCTGCTCCCCCGCGATTTCGGCACAAAGATACCCCAGTGGCGCCTCTACCCCGGTATCGTCAACTCGTCCTCGGTCAGAAGATGTTAAACTGTGGACCCTGAACCCATTGCACAGGACAATGGATACGAGTCGGTATCACATGGCACAATTTGTGGTATTTGTGGGGGGGATGGGCTCGAGCTTGTTGAAGTTGGGGAGAAACTGATTCGTGGACCCCATGGGGAAATGCGGGGAGTCAACAAGTTCATACAACTTCAAACTTGTGGTTGAACCGGGTGAGTTATCTAGGCAGAGTTGGCAAAGTGATTGAAAGGGCAGCATCTTGGCACAGCTTTGGCGACTTGGCAATGGCGAATACCAGACCATCGGGACCAAGAGATACAGCAACGCAACGTATTTATGTACTGCGCGCCCCCATTCCTGCTATGCTTGTTTTCTTTTCTTTTATCTTACCGACGTTTTCTCTCCCCACCATCTTTTAGTACAATCATAATCTCAGTACGGACACCATGGCTGATGACGAAAAGACGCAAACCAAGTTTGTCGACCATGCCGAATATGGGACATATGCACCCGATGTTGCCCTCATCGAAGCTGCCGCCGCCGCAAGCGAAGAGGAGGGCAACCTTCCCCGAAAGGAACTCTTTTCGCGGTACTGGCCAGCCGCCACATTCAGTATGCTCCTCAGCTTAGCTCTTGTCATGGAGGGCATGGACGTCGGCCTCATCAACAATTTCTTCGGACACCCTGCCTACATAAATAAATTCGGTTGGCCCGATGCTAACGGCAAGCAACACATCTCGGCTTCGTGGCAGGCGGCTATTGGTAACGGCAACAATTTGGGTAGCATCATTGGTCTCTTGCTGAACGGCTGGCTGCAGTCCCGTTACGGTTCTCGCAGGGTGTATATGGGAGCGATGGCTGTCATGGGCGCAACCATCTTCGCCCTGTTCTTTGCCGTCAATGTCCAGATGCTCTTTGCTGCCAACATTCTATGTGGTATCCCATGGGGTGTCTTTCAAACACTCACTACCGCCTACGCTGCCGAAATTTGCCCTGCTGCCATGCGCGGATACCTTACGGCGTGGGTATCCATGTGCTGGGGGGCTGGTTCCTTCTTGGCCACTGGTGTTCTTCGCGGCTCCATCGACCTTGAGGGAGACCTTGGGTGGAAGGTCCCCTATGCATTGCAATGGGTTTGGATCATTCCTCTGTTTATCGTAGGGTTTCTGTCCCCTGAAAGTCCCTGGTACCTTGTCCGCAAAGGTCGCATTGAGGAGGCTGAGAAGTCTCTCCGCCGTCTCGCGCGAAAGAATCACTACACAGAGCAGTCCATGGCCGAGACTTTGGCTCTCATGAAGCACACCAACGAGATGGAGAAGATCGAAGCGGCAGGCGCCACTTACAAGGATTGTTTCCATGGAACCAACCTCCGTCGAACAGGTGTTGTATGTATGGCCTGGATCATCCAAATTCTCAACGGCCAATCCATCTGCTCTTACGCCACTATTTTCTTGCAATCAGCTGGTATGCCCACGACGCAATCTTTCAACTACAATATGGGTATTCAATCAGTAAACATTTTCGGCACAGCCATTGCCATTGTCCTGATGGGCAGGATCGGGCGTCGCATCTTCTTCTTCTTCGGATCCTCTATCATCGGTGGCCTCATGCTAGTTGTTGGTATTCTCGGATCTGTCAACGTTTCAGCATCTAACGTCGCCCTCGGTGTGGCCATTGTCTTGATCATCACCAACCTTACCTTCAAGATGTCACTTGGTCCAACGACTTATACCATCGTGGGTGAGACCTCCTCTAGCCGTGTCCGAGCTCAGACCATCGTTCTCGGTCGTGCAGTCTATGTCATAGGTCAGATCGTCATTCAACAGCTCAATCCGCGTATGCTTAAAAGTGGCGGTGACGCGTGGAACTGGGGTGCAAAAGCTGGTTTCTTATACTTTGGGTTTTGCTGTATCTGGGCAGTATGGATCTTTTTCTTCCTGCCCGAGACCATGAATCGCAGCTTTGCTGAACTGGACTACCTGTTCCAGAAGAAAGTTCCTGCGCGCCAGTTCGCGACCTATCCTGTTGATCGTAAGTTTATCTACGTCATGATCACACCACATGAGAACTCCCTATCGGACTGTGTAATCAAATATTTAGGAATTATACTGACGATGGCTACAATCCAGTTTTTGAGCTTACTGGCGGCAGTGGTAACACCAAGAAGCTCGATGATGATCATCTCGAGAAGAATGTCAGCGAGATCCGGGAGGAAAGACGTGTATAACTGGTGTTTCAGCCTTAAAACCGGCAGAAGCAGAATATAGCTAGCAGCAGAGGCAACATGATTATCTTGGCCCGACTGAGAAGATGGTTACCGCAGTGAAGTGAACTCATCTTATCCTACAAAGATGTACTAGATCATTCAGCGCGTGTGCAAAATAGAAACAACTAAAACATCTGCTAATTTGTGTTGTATTGTGTGTCCGTCATGTGGTCGAAAAAACTAATGTTTAAACCAAAGACCGAGGTTTATGACATAGGAACATCCAGTACAAACGCCTCATGCTTGAAGCTCTTTTCCTGTTCTCCGTTGAAAGACCATGGTACGTTGGCGAAAGGGGAAACAGTTGACCAACGAACAGTTATTCGCGACGGGGATCATGTCACAATACCCTCGTGGTGTAAGCCGATTCTGCTTAGACAGACCACTTTTACCTTCTACGTGGCTTTGTCAGTAATGTCAAACTTATAAGCGGCTTCGCGTTAGATTATACTTAGATAATATAAGCCACTTTGAACCTGAAAATCTTACTGCGTACGGGAGGCTGTCGTCGTTAGAACAACTTTTGGCCAAATTATTGAAAGGCAAGACATGTTTGAGTACGTTGTTGACGATTATATCAAAACGGTTGTATCAAGCAGAGTTTTGCACATGATTGAGCTTACAGCCGGTGACTGCTAGGCTTTCATAGGCCTCTGTCACGCTAACACCTGTTCACAGGAGATATACCACTCATAATGACGCAAGGACAAACGCTGAGGCAACAAACCTGGAAGTCAATGGTATCAGATGGGTCAACTTACTATTGATAGAATTGACTTCTACATCGCATGTTCTTATACAGAAAGATACGAAGATATGCCACACATTAGATTAGTATTTGATTGCCAAAGACCACGGCAAAAAGCGAATCCCTACTCGGAGGATGCATGGTTTTCATAGTTGCTTAGGTTAGGCATATCGCCTTTATAATGCACTTTTCGTAATAAGCCAGTAGTGCTATCTCGCTCTGAACATGTTCTCCTAAGCAAGCCTATTGTATCAACCATCGATGCGGCTGCCACCCTGTTCTGTATATCCATAGTGCTCGGCAGAATTACTTACTTGATAGAGAATTTGAGGGTTTCAGCATCGAGTTCAGCTAGAAGTTACGTTTTGATCAAACTTGCCTCTGAAGCTGATTGCTTTACAAGAAAGAACGGGAAAAAGGTTTCATGATCGTATTAGGTCAAATTAACCGTAGTCCGGAGAAGCGACATCATCTGTCTTTAAAGTTGTAGTTGAACCCAATATGACATCTGCCTTCCATTGGAGAGTTGACAAAGTGTTACATTAATAAAGGTAAACAATTGCTTGACAATTAGTCCCACGCTTGTGGTACATTACCATAGAGTATTCCAGTCAGATCCACTACAACTAGTTGACAGAGGGCTGCACATTTGGGTCTTAAATTATGTTGATTGCCTGTTGGAAAATTTCAAATTCTCTGACCTTAATCAGGTGTTCAAGAAGTCCCTAAATGCTGAAGCCAGATACTCCAGGGGCCTTATCACTTGACACGTGATAAGGAAAGCAGAGTCAAGATAGTGCCTTCTTGCATCTACCTTTCCCATCCCCAAGATTTTCCAAGGAATGTCTTGGCTAATTGCCATGGCTGCAGACCAATGACCAAGACATCCCACGGGCGGGGAAATTGACGGTTCCATTGATGCGGTCATCTTGAACGCTTTGATGATGGATACATTTGGTGTGAATGTTCTTCAGGAGCTGATTCGCTAATTATCTGCCGCGCCATGTCAGGACTTCCGTTCGACCGGGAAGTTACAATGCCAGTTTGAGCTACTTGAAAGCGAAAACGCCTTGTTGCTGATGCCAAGATCCATTTGGATGGTGCCGCTCTGTCATCGTCGCAGTACTAAAGGGTCGAAGCCCTGGACAGTTTGCCATGGCAGTCTTGGGTCAAACACTGGCTTCATCTCGGTTGGTCCAGTCTTTTTAACAATCCAAGCGGTCTTCCAAGGTTGACCCACCAGCCCAAGGAATTTCCCCGCATGCCAATGCTTGTCCGTATAATCGTCTCGCTTCCACTGCCATTTAGCAATCAGCCTCTGTAAGTGGCGGCGATACGGACAGTCATACTGCCAAAGAAGTCAAGATTTCTCAGAGTCTTGGTCTGTTGTTCTCTGGGTGTTTGATTTAGTACAATTGACACGTAATTGATCCTGAGAACTTGGCCATCCATGCGCTTGGGTGCCGCTCTCTCGCCTCACTCCCCCCTTTATTTAGCAAACTACCGTGGCTTCATATAATGTTGCTCGGAAGCCCTTCTGATCATAACTCTACTATGAACTTTCAGTCTTATCAACATCATCTCTGGAAACCTAACATAATAAGCTCCTCATAAAAACGTTATTTTCGAGAGAAAAGCCCTTGTTCTCCTGACATCTTGAAAACGCGACACAAATCACTACACAATAGTTCACATTTTCAAGGCTTACCGTCCTAATCAACTGTCATGTCGTCTGGGAACAATGCCTCGTATCTCAAAGAAGTGACACCATCCGGAGAAAAGACTCCTTGGCCTCAAAACTCAGATTCCTCGTCCGGCAGAATCGAGACGGTGGAGGATGCGTTGCCTTCTGGCCGCATAACTGTTGACAAAGCGACTGAGCGGGCCGTCTTGAGAAAGTTGGATTACCGTATAGTTCCTATGGTGATGTGGGTGTATCTCATGAACATGATGGATCGCGGTGAGATTTCCAAATCCCAGATGAAATGCCAACGCAAACTCATACTAACTTGTTGGCACAGTGAACATTGGCAACGCCCGCTTGTTTGGTCTAGAGGACGATTTGAACCTAGGAGACGGTCAATTCCAGCTTGCGGTGTCAGTTCTATTTGTCACTTATTGTGTGAGTTGTGGTTTTCACGATGTCGTTCTTGAACATGACTTACTCTTCTATATACAATGGTCCATTGCTGACAGTTTGTGTTACACAGTTATTCGAGGCCCCATCCAACATGATAATCAAGAGACTCCGACCTGCACGGTACCTCGCCGGACTGACAATTGCCTGGGGCTTCGTTGCGACATTCAGTGCCTTCGTGAACAACTTCGCAGCCCTTGTCGCCTGTCGCCTGTTACTTGGCCTTTTCGAGGCCGGTTTCTTCCCCGGCGTTGTTCTGTATCTTTCTATGTTCTACAGCCGTCGCAGTCTGGCCTTACGTATTGCCTACTTTTACGGCACAGCCGCAGCTTCTGGAGTTGCTGGCGGACTGGTAGCCTATGGTATTAGCTTTATGGACGGGGACCATGGATGGCGCGCATGGAGGTGGATTATTCTCATCAACGGCCTCCCGACTATTGTTACAGGCTTTGTAATCCCCTTCGTCCTGCCTAACAGCCCCGAAACCGCCAAATTTCTTACCGAGGAGGACAAGCTCAACCTATTGCGCATTCACGAATCGCAAGTCGGGAGTGCCAGGAACCTACGCGAGATGGAGTGGCCTGACGTCAAGGATGGTCTCAGGGATTGGACCACATGGGCATATTGTTTTGCACTGTTCCCAATGCTCACGATGCTCTACTCATTCGTGGTTTTCCTCCCGACCATCATTCACGGCCTCGGAACGTGGACCGCTACCGAGGTACAGGCCATGACTGTTCCGGTCTACGCAGTTGGCGCCATTGTTTACATCACCTGCGCCCGTTTGAGCGATCTAACCCAGCGTCGGGGATACTTCATCATGGGATCAATTGTGTCATCCATGGCTGGATATGGCATGTTGATTGCAGAGAAAGGGTCTGCTGTATCCTATGCCGGCACATTCTTCGTCTCGATTGGCATTTTTGTTTCAGCGGGCATCTCTTTTGCCTGGGTCCCAACCAACAACCCGCGTTATGGCAAGCGAGCCATCTCTACCGGCTTGCATCTGACTATCGGCAACTCATCCGGCGTTGCATCCCCTTTCCTCTTCAAAGGCTCATTCGTTCCGGGATACGCTGCTAGTATAGGAATGTTAGGGTTTTCTTTGTGTCTTAACATACTACTCCATCTGCATTTCAAGAGACAGAACAGACTTCGCGATGAAGGCAAGTTTGATCACCTCATGGAGGGCAAGACAGAAGAAGAGATCGAGGCCATGGGAGAGAGAAGTCCCAGGTTCCGCTTTGCTACATAGTGCCAGCTTTGAAGAGTCAGCAAGGAGGCATTGGAAGCTCTAAAGCTTCCCCAGCGTTCCAATTGCACCTCATCTCAGTAACTAACATCAAAATGAGGATTTCAGTGGGTCTACAATTCGTATTCCATTAAAACAACGCGGGCCAGAATAATTTATGCACTTGAAAAGAAGATGTGGTTTTTCGAGATTCTAGTGATGACTTGGAAAACAGTGTCCATGTCGTAGATTATGTACAAAAAGATACATCCGACGCATAACACTACAGATATAGGATAGTTGTAGAAGTATGGTCGGTAGGAATTGCGAGTATATCGAACTCGATTGGAGACATGGCAGCATCTCAAATAGTTGATCATAGGAGATAGTATGTACTCCCTAGGGACCCAAAGAAAAGCTTGACAATCACGTGAGGGTCCATACGACAACTGCTCTTTCTCGAAAGTGTCCTTCCATGCGTTGCACATGCGGAGTCCAACTTTCAACGTCACAGCCTTTTGGGAAATCCCCGCTTCCCACGTCCCCACGGCATCCGCTCGTCTGTTGGACCATACCTACACTAAACGCGGGGAATGCGGGGCCCCCAGATATTGTGGATGCCCTACACTCCGATGCAGTGCCAAGAAACCAGCAGAAACGCCGAAGCCCGCACCTTCCGAGCTGTGCATCATAAACGGGACCCCAGTTTTACGAAACGAGACGCAAATGGGTATCATTCTTGTCAAAAACAGCGACATGCAAAAGTAGACACGATTCGTTGACAACCCGTCACCAGCAGCAGGAATCTTCATTACAAGAGATGGCCGAACCCACCGTGCTCATTATCGGCGCGGGAACTTTTGGCACATCTACTGCATACCATCTTGCGCAGACCTACAAAGATCCCAGTCGAGTAACCGTCATTGACAAATGGGCCCCCTCATCTCCATCAGAAGCTGCATCCGCCATAGACATTAACCGCATCATATACACTGACTATGTCAGCCCGTTGTACTGCAACCTCGCGAACGAAGCCATTCATCCATGGTTCTGGAGCCTGGATCTCGGCCATTTTTTCCATAAAACGGGTTTGATTATGCTTGATGATCAGAATAGCGGCTTTGCTAAAGGCGTTCGAAATACTCTTCAGCAGCGCGGATCTGACTACACAAAAGACATTGATACCTTGTATCCTGCAAAACGATGGGAGTTACTACGAGGAATGGAATTGAACGGTATAGGGAATTCATACTTCAATCCAGAAGCTGGCTGGGCTGATGCCGCGCTTGCGACTGCGAGGTTCATGAATGTCGCCGAGGGAAGGGGTGTTAGGAGAGTGACTGGCGAGGTTAAAAACTTGGTATTTGACCTCGGGTGTCAGAAGTTGGTGGGCGCCCGTACTACCGATGGCCGCAGCTTCACAGCAGATCAGCTCGTTCTTGCAGCAGGGGCATGGACAAGCAGTATTCTAACGTCCATCGAAGACACGCTGCATGTTCAAGCGCAGAACCGTATCGAACGCCAGATGCAGGCCGTAGGCAGGCTGTCGGTATATTATACACTCTCCGCAGAAGCAACGAATCGGATGTGCGAAAGCGATATGCCCATCATTGTTTACCGACAGAGGGCCGTACTGACGCCCCCCTCGCGCGAGAATCGAACGCTGAAAATCAATGACCTAAGTACGGAGTTGGTCAATATGGTTACTACAGAATCCGGACACCAGATATCCGTCCCGTCGAATCGACTTCAAGAGGAGGTCCCCGATAAGCTTAAAGCTGAGACAGAGAAGCTTTTACGCAAGACAATACCAAATTTTGTCAAGCAGCAGCAGCCAACACGATGGCGTATTTGTTGGGACACGAAAACGCCGACTAGTGACTGGCTTCTGTGTAAACATCCACATCCGCAGTTGCAGAATCTGTACCTAGCCGTCGGTGGTAATTTCAGCAGCTACAAGTATTACAAGTCCCGTCGCAGAGATTCGAAGAACATCGAAACTAACAATTGAAACATAGGTCAATGCCAATTGTAGGCAAATACATTTGCAACGTGCTGAAAGGTAAGAGTAATGGGGCAGAAAAAGACGTATCTTGGGGATGGAAGAGCGAAGAGATTTTGAGAGGTGGCGAGCGCAACGAGGAGTTAGGTTGGAAGAAAACGAGAGCTCCCTGTTCTGACCTCGAAGTTTACGAGAGCATGTCGTTTAGTTCTAAACTGTAGTGTGTCGTACGATATCGAGTACCCAGAGTTTTAGTTGAATCAATTTAGCCTAAACAAGCTATCTATGCCTTGCGCCGACCATTACTTACCATATCCCAGCGAGTGCCAATGGACACCAGCGTTATCAAGACCTGAATCTTCCACTCCAGTAACCTGTTTTACTCCAGATCTGTCATTTTGCAAGTATCGACTGGCTTGAAACTTCCAGTCAATGGAATTAACCAGTCTATCCCATCCTTAGCAAAAATGAGGTCCGTTGGCACCCGGTGGGATACTTCTCAGACTAACATGATGACCCACAAGGTTAGGTTTAGAAACATCCCTGAACTCACAAGCATCAGAAGGACACTTATTATGATAGTATGCGAGGTCGCACACCTTTGTATTTATTCCCGCCTCAAATGTGTTTGCAGGTCGTGCCTGGCTTCTGCTCAAGGGGCTACATGAGGCAGGCCATTGAGGTGTATCAACACAAATAGAATGGAAATAGAATGGAAGGATTTAAAATTACACGCGTAAGAACGAATACCCTCATGTCTCCTGTAGAAAGAACTGAGATACTTGCCATAATTGCCAATTAATCGATGGGCGAGTAATACGTCTTTGTTCAACGTATTAAGGCGCAAGTGTTTAAGCAGAGCCATAAGTATTCTTGCTTTTTCCCTTAGCTAGGAAGCCGGGGGGGTTTTTTTTTTCGAGCGACTTCTGTCGTATACATAGTACAATGCTTCGGAAAGTTCAATGTAAGAGGAATCATGTGGTGTGTGCCCCATGTTTGGATGGGTCAGGCTCGGAATCCAAGCTGGTTGAAAATAGAAATGGGTTTTCAACCCACATTGTATCCGGTCCTTCCGTAAACCCCACTAGACCCGTACCAATTAGTATCAGCCTCACAAAGGCAGTCGGAACATGTGCCGCTATTCTAGCGTCTCGCTCGTCAGTCTGGAGTTGTGTATAAATAAATTATCACTGACCTACCGTACCTGCTGCTAATAGTCTCCTCGTTCATCTTGTAGACCAAAGCTGGCTTTAACTATATACCGCTTACTTTTTCATTATTCGCTCCGACCCAGGTAGTGCAATCCACACACATCAATAACAATAACTGAAGCAACGCTAACAAAATCACCTCTCTAGCAATCGAAAAATGAGAGTTTTAAGACTTATAGCATTTGTGGCAGCAGTAGCTGCTACACCATACCCAAAAGCCTCTTACCAAGATGACCCAGGTAACTTTCGAAGTATTGGCAAACGCGACTGCGGTACCTGTTATCAGAATGTCAACCTCTGCTGTGACGCGAATAGTTGCTGGACAATCACTTGCTGAGAGATGGGGCTCTGGATACTTGTCACGGCCTTTTTGGTATGTTAAGACTTAAGGTTGGCTCAGCGGTATTAGTGCAGGAAAAACCAGGGAGAAGACTTGAGGCAACATGCTGAAGACGAGGGCGGGATTTATCAGACTACTTATGGGTTTACGGACACGGAATCTAGGTCACGGAATAAACCGATTATGGTTAGTTTAAGCTATGACTGATCCAATACTAAGGACGCAAACTCAACTTGGTGATGCAACCACTGGGTTCGCTGATCGCAAGAATTTATCTATCAAGTAAATGAATAACCCGAAGGCTTCCTCTAGAACAGCTTCTATAGCTTCTCATCAATTAAACCTATGGTAATAACCATAAGTATGAGCTGACCCTGGTGTATGGCTATGCTTAATAACCTTGGCTTATACGAGTAGTGACTTCTGGATAGTGCCTTGCTCGTTGTTTGTATGCTGCTTTGCTTTTGGCCAGCTCCAACATTGAAATTGGGCACGGCTGTGGCATTCTTCGTGCTTGTCGCGACATGCTGCGTATTTCAGATCTGTAACCTTGTTAGATTGTCGGGGTACTCTTGAACTGTAGGGTCTTCTGCGCAGTAGCCGCATGTAATTGCTGCCTTGCATCAGGCTTCTATGGGCTGTATGTATCATATTCAACGCCCCATCTGCTGTGTTATTTGTACTAGTGAATGTCGGCTTATTAAACAGATCCTTCGTAAAGCGGCCATGAAGCAACCCTACGGATGATGAATATGAAGACTGCGGCTTTTTTGTTTCCATATCGAGAAAGGTCTATAGAGAACCATCTTCAAAATATCTGAAGCACATTCGGGAAGCTGCTTATGCGTGTTTTCTCGCCGAAACCTGCACTGTTCAAGCTAGTGTCTCATTATTTCTGGCGGTACTGCTATTGCTTCCCTCGTCGTGGGGTATTACTGATGGTACGTGCAACGTCCATCCGAATTAGTTCTTGTCTAAATTTCCTAGACCTAGGGTCTGGCATCCTTCCAAGAGGCTTCGAGAGGTGGCTGAGGCTCCAGTACGAATTCTAACAAAGCCTTCCGTGTGCCTCTCCGCACTGATGCTTCTGTAATTATATGGATTCACAAGAGCTTGCAGAGCCGTCTTAATTATCTCTGATATGTGCCGTCTACCGTGGGACCGGGAGACAAGAGAGTATAGCTATTGTATTGCTCTATACCTCAATCATACGCTTAGTCTTGTTAGAATGCTTTACGTCTTTCTACCATCGCTTGATTCTTTATGATGCTCTTATAGCGCTATATCTATAGCCTGTTACGGCCTCGGAACACTATGCCGATGAAGTCTTTGAGCCTCTCCAAGGCTGCTTTGATCACTTGAGCTTGTTAAGCAAGACCTCCCGCGATTGCAACCGAAGGTCCGTGTTGCGTTGAGTGTTAAAGTTGCCTGTAGTTAAGGCGAACTTGCGTAGCGTCCGGTTGCTGCACTCTTCGTATTCTGTCATCTGATTAGCCTCTTTGATCCTTACTAGTCAATATGGATAACCTGACTTACTAGGAGTCTCGTATCTTGACTACATTGTACGTCGTTTTGCCTGAGCCATTGGACGCTAGGACCAACGTTACACAGAAGAATTTTATTATCCTTGACGCCATAATAAGCACAAGCTGCTTAACCTCCTTTCACTTGGGCGATACGCTGAATACCTAAAACTAATTATGGCTTGACCTGCAGCGTCTTGGGCAGTAAGAACGTTGTCAAAACAAGCATCGTTATTTGGTGGCACAGTAGCTTACTAGTGTTCTTATTTAAGCAGTTTACTACGAGCTAGTAGGGGCTAGGACCTCGACGGCGCCCTAGTGGTAGAACCCTGTCTTTCCTTGCTTGAAACCTTAGCAGAGCAGCTCTGGCACAGCCTTGAACGCGAAGGTACACCTGAAGTAGATATGCGTACCTTCTGCTCAAGCGCCCTCATGTGATTTAATTTGTCCTTCTATGTCGCGGGACGCAACGATGTAGATAGCCCTAACAACGCCAACTCCCTGCCTTCTTTGCTGTGCAGTCAGACGAAGCTCCTGAACATCATCTTGCCCTGGATTAATTTGGGAACCTGCTTGGACTCCCCTGTGAGGGGATAGCTTGTTATTAAGCTCACATACTGGGTAGGCTTAATGTCGCCATTTGCCCTGTCCTTATAGCACTTGAAAGATGCGGCTTAGGCAGCCATGTTGTGTCCCTGGAGGAGACGATGTTTCCTCCCTTGTTGCTGCTGATGATCTGTGTCAGAGGCTGGGGTCATACAGAGTAACGAGGTCGACGATGAGCACAGGTAGGGGTGGGTGTTGACTGTTATTCCAATCTGCCTTTCTCCTAGGTCCGCCGCAGCTGCTCCCTATATGCCTCCCAGGCTCCCCTTCCTTGGCCAAGCCCAGCTCCCCTGGCTATAGGCACTAATCCAGCGGCGTTGTGCTATCGCCTTTCTCTAACGTTGGTCTCAATGACTAGCCTTTGTCGTCGGAGTCTGCGTTGGACGCTTAGCTAGAATCCCTTTATACTCCCTTAACTATGTGCCGGTGCGGCCCCAGCTACCTCGCCAACGACCCCACTTGTGCCGAGCCGGTGCCCCCCCTCTGGGCGCCTGACATGCTGGAGGAGCTCTTTAGCGAAGTCGTGCTGTCTCCGCGTCTTGGGAACACGTTGGCTGGGATACGATAATTCAGGCTCCCAATCCCTCATAGCTCTTAACTTCCTTCCATACTATTATATAGGTTATGTTAGGTTACGATTTATAAGTTTTCAAAGTAAAGTCGGCACTAAGACCCTAGTAGGTAAGTTAATCTACTATAAAACATAACGCTAGAACATCTTTAATTATATATATAAAATATAGAAATAAGATCTATATAACTATATAGTCTTTCTTACGTATATATAGAAACGTAAGTCCCACAGAATCTTTTGCGTTTTTATAGAAAAAGAACGCTTTTTAAATCGTGTATTTTCCACTGTTTACAAATCAACGACATCTAAAACCCTATATCGCCTGCTTTCCACAAATCGTCCTTTTTCAAAAACCTATAACTGTTACGACCCAAGAAAACGTTGGTTAACACAACCACATGGAACGAACCCATGGGAGGATCAGGGGATAATCAGGCTCATGTATGCATGATCACAGCGCTGACGGGCAAGGGTCGGAAAGAAAGAACTATGGAAGGTCACGTGCTGATAAGAAAGTAATCAAGATAAGGTGATCACAAGTGAGCAGATCACCCCGGACCCACTTTAGTTGATCACCATCATCAACATCACTATGAAGTGAAACCAGAGACAGGACATGAGCCTGGGGCTCAAGGACTCTCCATAGCTCTTCAGCGATCAACTTCGAGATTCACTGTACTGTAAGTGACTTTTAGATTATCCTTCCGTTGTGAAGCTATACGAGCTACCTACGCCTTGAGACGCCTGACTGATCACCAGCCGCCAACAAACCAGCAAGATTACCAACAAGACCTGACTTACTGTTATTGAATATCGACCTCAGCTATCTATTAACAGGAAACACCACTGTCGAATATCTGACCGTAACAACCCTTCCTTTCTTTTTATTAGAGGAATACAACCTACCAAAGACGATTAGTTCTTGCGGCCTGTAATTAGGGGAGCAGGGGCCTTGTCGGGCGGACCAGTGTTGGGGAAAAGCGGGGCCGGTCCTGCCTACCTGCCTGACGTGAACGTTAATCAGATTGCACGGTTTGTGACGCTGCACTTCTGGCACTGGCCAAAGGCGTCAGCAAGGTTGTTTGCCGGATGGTAGAGAAAGCAGGGGGTGGAATCTGACAAGGGTCGATTCCGTTGATTGAATACAGAATAGAAGAAACCCCAAGTATGTGCCAAGCTCCGTAAATAATCGTGTGACAGCTGTGTCTTCTGTCGTTGAGCAACCCATGGTAAAGGCCGATACGATCCGACAAAGCCCGAATTCAGCAGACTGGGAGGACAAAATAACAAGGAACTGGCTTCTGACATTTGCAACCGCCAAGAGGTCATTGAATGCAACAAAATCGGAGTTGGCATGGAACATGCCTCCCTGATGATTCTTTCTCCACTGGCTTCCTCTTACGGTAAATACCGCGTCAACAGATATGTGGGACCGTTGAATAACGAGGGACTTTGGAAACCCTACACTTGGCTGAACTCATACCGATCGGGCGGAAGTGCGGTTCGTCACCGTTACCGTCACCGTCACCGTCACCGTCACCGGCACCGGCACGGCGAAGGCGGTGGTTGGCGTGACCCGCAACCGCAAAGGACCGGGAAGTAATATTGGCGGTGGTGTAGGTCTTGGCTAATGTCGATCCCGCGCCTAAAATGTTAGCATGTCAGAGCAGCCAACGGCGGATGACGTGCGCCGTGAAAATTCGAGGCCGCCGAAAAAGGCGCCAAGCCAGACATATCGGCCGAGAGGGAGCCATTTGAGGTAGCATCGGTGTCCATCAAGCTGTTCGTTTGTGTTTGATGAGATCCTGTCTCCGAAGGCCTTCTGACAAGATAAATACATATAATACTGTATGTCTGTCTGATGCATAAGCATTTCCCCACTGGCAAGTAGATACCACCAAAGCAGACAGGAGACGACGCATTTATTCCGTATCGATTCCATCAAAGTTGGCTATCGTTGCCTTTCTAAATCAACATCCCCCAGGCCCAAACTCTTGCAACAGGCGAACATACTCAGTACAAGCCAACGACTCAGCATTATGGCCTTTGCGACTGCAGTCGCTTCACAGCAAGACCTGGTTCAGGCTTTCAATCCCGCCGTCAACATCTCATCGTGCCAAGCCCTCTCGTGCAGCTCCCGCAACGGCAGCATCTGCTCAACGGAGATCTCGCCTGGACCTGAGGCGGGTGTTGGTATCGCCGCTGAAGTTGTCATCACCCTTCCCACCAACTTATCCCTCACCCTTATCGACGGCCTGAGTGAAAATGGCTTTACCGGTATCGGGAGCGATGCACATGAGTTCTCGGATCAACAACTGTTCGTCGGGGTAGACCCGAGTCTGAACGAAGAAGACTACCCTTCAGGCTGCGTCCTGATGATGCAGTATCAAGGACAGACCTTCCCGCTTGAGGCGCTCCCTGAGGAAGGAGTGAGATCAGAGAGCAGCCAGAATACGACCTCGTGCGACGGCGTCATTGATATCTTTTGTCAGTCGGCCATCGTAGAGATGATTCAGAGTTTCAACGCCTACGATGGCGAAACAGACCGATGCAAAATTTTGACGCAGCATGTAAGCTCGAAGCTGCAGGATAACCCGGGGACGTGTGGTGGCGAGGGAACATGGATCGCCAACTTCTTCAATGTGACAGGGGGTGGTTTGCCCTCTGGAAGCTCGGAGATTGCCAGCAATGACAGGCTCGGTGATGAGGAGTGCAGGCCTGTCCTTCCACAGTCGTATCGGATGTATAAGGTTGCTGAGATGCGATCTTTCACTTTTGCGGACGCTCCCGATTCGGGATCGGACTTCTATAGTGACTTGTTCGGAGGCCGCGCCGGGTTCACGCCAGTCGTCACTGTGGTATTTCCGGAGGACACTACCCAAGACCGAGGGATTCAGTTTTCCTGTATGAAGACTCTTCAACGAGATGGAGAATTTCGCGAGGGTCCGTTCGAGAGCGGCGCCCACGGCCGACTACACAATGGAGTTATGGCACTGGCTTTTTCACTTGGTTTAGGATTGGTGATGTGGCTCTAAGAGCGAAGTGTTTGAGGGTGGGAAATCTATCTTCTCGTCGAGTTTACCAAAATGCTAGCAGGGGTAGCTTGCGATAGTTATTTGCTATTGTCTCGGTCATTGAGAGATACTTGGCCGCCTAAATATAATTACTTTTTTCTGATCTTGCCAATCTGCCCAACGAAGCAGCAATTTGGCATGAACACCGATCGCTAGTGCTTGCTTTTGCTGGTTTGACACTGTTCAAGTCGAACGTTGCATCACAGATCCTCGGGAGCTGACTTTGGGTGAGATACGAAACCTCTTGCATCAGAGGCACAACATACGCAACAACCATGAGAATCAGCTCGGCTCATCACAGACTCAAGCATGCAGCTACAATGATCGCTGACGCTGATCGTGGGAAGGATTCGTGAGCCTTCCCGACTCGCTCCTTTTGACTCTTTTGCCAGGACTTGCCTTGTTTCTTGCGGGCTCTTAACGTGTAGTCTAAACATGTAGATCATTAACTATTATCGTTTGAATAACATCGTGATAACTGTAATGCCTAACTATTAGGATTCTAACGTTAGGACCGGAGATCCGGGTCAGGATCTGGTTTTCATTGGTTAAAACGGAGCGTACACTGACTATACAAGTTTCCTATTCAGATACTGGAAAGGGGCAGGGTTTCGCGTTTTCATTTTTTCTTTTATCAGCTTACAGACACATTCACAGGCCTGATCAGACGTGACTAAGCAGGACCCTTCTAAGTACAAAAGGGGGACTCTAGTCACATACTATCACAGAAGGGAGGCAACGGCATTCTATCATTAAGAAGACAGACAAGCTTGATATCTTTAGACAGGCACTTAGACAGACACAGACGAATTCCTCACTTTGATATTGAAACAAGACGTGTAATAAGTAACTGTTGTTTTGTTTTCTTAGGCCTGACTAGACATCTAAGGTCTAGAAGGGTATCCTTTGTTACGCTCAGATATCCGACAGTAGTATTTTCTACTAATAGATAGCTAAGGTTAATACTTAATAACAGTAGCATAAATCTTATTAGTAATCTTGCTGGTCTGTTGGCGTCTAGTAATTAGTTAGGCGTCTCTAGGCATAGGTAGCTTATAGCTTTATAATAAAGGGATAATCTAAGAGTTACATAAATTAAATTAAATTACGAAGTTAATTACTAAAAAGGTGTAATATACCTATAAAGTAGGTAACATATTATAGTAAGTAATATATAGTTATTATTTTACCTTAATACCTTTTATATAGTTAAGTTAATTATACTATAATATATAAAATTGATTAAAACTACTTAGTTATTACTTTTTATTATTAGGTCAATACGTAAGTACACGACGAGACACCAAGTTTCGAACAGACAGAGGGCTCATCATCCACTTGTACAGGACTTCACTCACACTCAGTTCTTCTCCATCTAATAACAAACAACCTAGTGCAAAGCATTTTAGCACATGTATTGCAATGCGTCCCCCTCTACCTTCTTTCTGCTCTTTCCGCCTCCTTAGCAGCGTTCAAAGCCCCCGGAAGGCGCAACTAACGGCTTTCATGTAGCCTAAGCCGGGCATCTCCTGAATGCGGCATTCCTCGTGGGCTGCAGAGCTTTTGGGCAAGGGGCCACTGTTTGTTGTGGATGCGGCCACCACTTGAATAGCATTAACTGCGACGGCGCTTTCCACTAGACTGAGAACGAGAACCGAAACTCGGGCAGACAATCCAACGTTGGGCCGGGCAAGGAGTGGTATTGGATCCGCAGCAACGTTGCTGCGTTCATCTGCAAGCGCTTTGGACCCGGTAATGGCCTCATTACAGAACCCGGGTTTGCCGGTGGCCTACTAACCATTACAGTTGCATGTGGGTGGTACTTTACAGGCACGTTTTAAGCATCACTGTTAAGTCATTACGGTCAACCATTTCGATTATCAACTATAGTGCATCGCTTGTCAAATTATCTATTCCATAACCTAAGAATTATAAATATTTCATAATACACTCAGTTGTCATCTTTGCTCTTACAGCCCGCATCGGGTTCTCTATTGCAGCGGACTTTGGTACTACCTCCGACTATCTGGTCGCGATAAACCCGACCATAATTCACAGCAAGGACTATTTCCCGGCTTGTACCACCATTGTTGTGACTTGTGCCAATGTAAGCACTATTGGCTTCATAGAGTAGGCAGCGCCTTTAACTGAACGATCTTATGAGGTCGCATCAAGCTTCTCTGGGTTTTGTGGACCCGACACTACGCAAAATGGTGATGTTTGACCTTATGAAGGGCGAGTCTAATGCAGGTGCCTGGAAGGGTGAGACAGGCAAAGTGACTTGACGTAGTAGAAGAGGATAGATATCCTCTTATAGGTGAACAATCTTAGGATTGATGGTCCCAAAATCGACCGACTGGCTGCCCAAACAGGACGTGATCAAAACCTAGCTCTCCATTCTCTCACTGTAATTTTCATCACCCAGCCGAGCCAAATCCCTCTTCACTCGCATCCATCGACCGTTTCTGACCATTGAGGCATTACCTAAAGTCACAGCTCCCTGCTTTAGTAACCAATGCCGGGTTATTAGGCAAGATGTCTGCTGCTGCTACAAATCCCAGTCCTTAAAGATAAGCCATTAGGAGGCAGGGTTAGAGGGCCTAACTAGGCATATATAAAATGACTTTATTCTTACTAACCTCTGAGAGTATTTAGTAATATCTAGCGATGCCTCCCAGTGCACATTGTTATAATACGGGCCATAGTTAGCACGTAAGCTTGAAATTTTCCATCTGCCCGGGTAATTTCCAGTCGCAAACTTCGCCTGCTTGTAGTATACCCGCAATCCAGTAATTTACTTTAGAAAACGGTTCCCAAAATTGAATGGCATAATGCGTTACACCTCCTGCATTTTGAAGTGTGTACCAATTTTCAGCCTTCTGTTGGACGCTCAGAACGCTATACTTACTCACAACGGTTTGTCCGTTGTGAGTAGGAGCTGGATATGATGGGCAATTCAATGGATTGTTGCCAATTCCATGATCGGTCCATACACAATCGCCCGCAGCAACACCACGAAAACTCGCAAAGGTGATTGCTATATGGCTAATGTAGTGATTTAACTGCATGCCTACTGGTTTATGTTAGAAATACAGACTAAGGCAAAAAGTGTGATTGGTTAGTAACTTACCGATCCCAGGAATTATGCAGATATTATAGTAGCACTAAGAACTGTTGAATGTATAGATGAATTCTAGCGCTTATATAAGTAGTTTTAGGATTGACTTTTTTTTCTAACCTAAAGAGGTATTTATATATTTATCAGCAAAGACTTAACTATTAGATTTTCTAGGAATCGTTAGTCTATAGGTGTATTGTTACAGTTAGATATCTAACAGTGGTGTTTTTCTGCTAATAGGTAACTAAGGTTGATACTTAGTAATAGTAAGGTAAGTCTTGTTGGTAATCTTGCTGGTCTGTTGGTGTCTAGTGATTAGTTAGGTATATCTAGGTATAGATAGCTTTATAGCTTTATAATAGAAGAATAATCTAAGAGTTACTTATAAGAGAGTGAATTATAAAGTTAATTACTAAAGAGCTATAGAAAGTATTTAGTCTAGTTAAAATAATTATCTTTATATTTTATTATTACTTTATTAAAATTAATTTCTTAAAGTTAGTCTTTAATAAAGACTAATCTTTAGTATATTAGTCCTAGGTTATAGACTACTTATTTATTATTAGTTTTTTTATTTTTATATAATTTTCTTTAGTTCTTTTATTTTAAAAAGAGATTAATATATTCTTATATTATTTTATATATAACTTTATTTTATAACTACTAAGTACTTATAAAATAACCTTAGTTATATTATACTTATTAAGTTATAATATTAGGTTTCTTTTTTAAAGGTTTTACTTTTAAGACTTTATAAATAAATTATTTTTTTTAAGTTAAAGAGTTATTAAACTTATTTTATTTATTTATTTATAATACTAATATTATATTAAGTTATATAAAAAAATTAAAACTAAAAGTAAAATCTTAAAAAATAAAAATAAAATTATTATAAGTATTTTATATTTTTAAAGTTTATTAAAGCTTATTTTATTATTACTAGTATACTTTATAGTTATTATTTTTATATAAAGACTATTTATTATTTTAGTAAAAGCTTTTATTATTATTAAAGCTATATTAAGACTAAAAAGCCTTATAATAGTATTTTAATAGCTTCTACTTATAAATATCTTTTAATTAAGTATAGTTTTTTTTTATTTAACTTTTATTTATAGTATAAAAATTAAATACTTAGTAAAAAAAGTAAAATAAGAAAAAAAAAGTAATAAATAAGAAGCTTTTAAGGCTTTATAAAGAGTTTATTTAATTATAATCTTTAATAGCTATTATAGTTAACTACTTATCTAAAATTTAAAAAACTTAAAAGCTTATTTATAAGTATTAGTTAAGCTAAAACTTTTTATTATAATATATAAAAATTTAATAAGTTTAATGCTTTAAAGTTAATATTAGATACTTATAAATAAGAAATAGTAAAAGAGTTATAGTTTATATAAGTGCTTAATAATATAGACTAGTTTTTATATAAGCTTAGTAATAAGTTCTTAGACTTAGAGCTATTAGTATAGGCGTTTAGTTCTAAAGTATTTATAAGTTATAATAGTCTTAGAGTAGCTATTAGGAGTACTAGAGGTTTTTAATTAGTTCTTATAAGTTATTTTTATATTTATACCCTTTTTATTTAATAAGATATTATATTTTTTTATTTTTTTATTTTTTTATTAATAATTTATTTAATTTTATATTTTAGTTTATTTAGTTTTATAATAATATAGTTATTAGTATTTAACTCTTATAGTATTAGTTTAAGTAGTATAATATAAAAAACTAAATAGATCTTTATTATATCTAGTAAATTAAGTTTAAAGTTAACATTTAAGATTTTTTTAATAATTTTAAAAGGTTTAAGTTTTTTATAGTTTAATTTATTACTTAGTTA